GGGAAATAAGCAGGATCCCTGCGCTCGGCCACGGCCGGCACCTGCCCTTCAGCGTGTTCCCGCATTAGAGACAGAACCGCACCTGCTGGCTTTTTTTCTCCTTCACACCTCGCCTCCAAGTGGTGGCCGGGGTGCAAGGAGCCGATGACAGCTACGGAGATGCCAGTGGTTCATCTTTAAATGCACAGACGCAACAGGAAAACCAACCAAAACCGTCGCACGGAACAGACGGGACGGGAACAGCAGTGTTCATAGTTACACCCGAAACCCACCGCCCGCACACGACTGAAGAGGACGTTAGAACACAGACACACACACAGACAGACACAGACACACACACACACACACACACACACACACACGTCGTCTCAGAAAACCAGGGCCGGGCTTTAATGAGGAGCAGGTTCTGCCTGGCACTGCGATTCGCTGACATGTGACCATCAGGCAGGGAACCCCTGTGCAGCCACCCCGTGGAGGTCGGGTCCCAGGCAGCGCCCGCCGGACTCACGCTCTCCGCTGTGATGATCCTGGCCAGGTCGTCCTTGTGTTGCATCATCAGGTCATACCATTTCCGAAGCAACGCGCTCCGTTCCTGGGAAAGAGATGGAACGGGAGAGAAAGAGTGAAACGCCAAGCGTAAGAGACACCAGACAATCTGACAGCCTCAGCCACGGCTCCTTCCTGGGGAGACGCAGAGCCGGGCCTGGGAGGAGCGGCACAGACCCCACCTCGGGGCTGCAGGAGCTGGACCCCATTGAACTCTGACCCCACTGAACACCGCTCCTCCCCGCACCCCCTCCGTCCCTGTGAGGTCCCACTCCAGGGCCTCCCGCACCGGAGTCACACAGCACTTGCCCTGTGTGGCCCGTCCCCCTGGCATACGTCCTCCAGTGCAGCCCCCTTTTTAAAAAATACATTTTTTTATTGACTTCAGATAGGAAGGGAGAGGGAGAGCGAGAGAGACGTCAGTGATGAGAATCATGGACTGGCTGCCTCCTGCACTGCATGCCCCACACTGGGGATCCAGCCGGCGACCCTGGCCAGGAATCTAACGGTGACCTCCTAGGAGGGTCATAGGTCCACGCTCGACCACTGAGCCACGCGGCCGGGCTACAGCTCCGTCTTTCAACAGCTCAGGGCAGGTGAACCTGGGCTGCGCTCCCTGTGCGGTGGGTGTTTGCAGGGCAGGTGCCGAAGGGTGGGTGCGACTCGGTGCAGGAGGAGGAGGGGCAGGAGGAGGAGGAAGATGCGTTTCCCAGTTTTCTTCCTCCGGGTCCCCTCTCACAGCACCCCCACTTCCCCAGCGACTCTAAGAGGTCAGTTCTCAGCTGTGTTTCCCGCTTCAGGCGGAAAGGGTCCTGGGACCCTTCCCCAGGGCATGGTCCGCCCAGGGCGCTCCCCCGCCTCCCGACGC